TTATGGCCATCTGTTGGGGGGTGATTTGATTGTTTTTCATTCATGGCAGAAGGGGGTTGGACTGGATGGCCTCTGGGGTTTCTATTATTATTATTATTATTATTATTATTATTATTATTATTATTATTATTATTATTTGAAACACAACAAGATGAGTCCACAGCAGACACTCTGCTGGCTGTTGTATTGGATCACACGTTGGACACTTCCCAAGTGTCTAGGACTGTGTGATGTATCAGCGAATAATGCGTGCAGATCCCAGTAAGGTGGCCTTTTGCAGCTGGCAGATGGTAATTTTGTCAGCGCTGATTGTGTTTAAGTGCAGGCCAAGGTCTTTAGGCACTGCACCCAGTGTGCCAATCACCACTGGGACCACCTTGACTGGCTTGTGCCAGAGTCTTTGCAGTTCGATCTTTAAATCCTCATATTGTGTCAGCTTTTCCAGTTGTTTCTCTTCAATCCTGCTATTACCTGGGATTGCAACATCGACAATCCACACTTTGTTTTTTAACAGGATTGTGAGGTCAGGAATATTGTGCTCCAAAACTCTGTCTGTCTGAATTCGGAAGTCCCAGAGGAGTTTGACGTGTTCATTCCGTGTAACTTTTTCCGGCTTGTGATCCCACCAGTTCTTTGTCACAGGCAGATGGGATTTGTGGCACAAGTTCCAATGAATCATCTGAGCAATGGTGTTATGCCTCTGCTTGTAGTCCGTTTGTGCGATCTTCTTGCAGCAGCTCAGGATATGATCTATTGTTTCATCTGCTTCCTTGCAGAGTCTACATTTGGGATCTGTCGTTGACGTTTCAATTCTGGCTTTGATGACATTGGTTCTAATGGCTTGTTCTTGGACTGCCAGAATCCTCACAACCTTTGAGGATGCCTGCCATAGATGCAGGCAAAACATCAGGAGAGAATGCTTCTGCAACATGGCCATACAGCCCGGAAAACTCACAACAACCCAGGGATTTTGGCCATGAAAGCCTTTGACAATCTCAAAGGAATCTTGCCCAAAAAATCCCATGATGGATTCACTTTAGGCTCACCATACGTTGATGACATTGAACTAACAGCAGACGCCGTTTCATGGTCATCCTCAGCTAATTGCGGAGGAAAAGGAAGGAATACAAAAGTCCAATTCTGTGTAGAACTTTTATTTCATTCATGGATGACACCCAGGATAATTTATCACCGAACATGTCTGCGGCATAAAACTTTATGTAGCTTTTCGGATGCCTAATTAACATACTTTGCTACAAAAAGCAGGGAGGGAGGGGAGGCGCCTCAATTAATTTTTACAGTTTCCTGCCTGAGAATGAACTTCTAATTGAATACGACGGCACAATGATGTTAAACAATGGGAGGCGAGTTGCGAGATGATGCTTTAAGGGCATCATAGGCAATAAATGGGCTAGGAAAAAAGACAACACATTTAATCAGAAATCTGGGACATGCCAAGTAACATCAGGATATATGCATTGTAATCCACCTTGAGTCCCCTGCGGGGTGAGAAGGGTGGAATATAAATACTGTAAACAAACAAACAAACAAACATTTCTAGATAGTACTAGCTGTCCCCTGCCACACGTTGCTGTGGCCCACTCTGGCAGTGATGCGGGTTCTGTGTGGGAGGTTTGGCCCAATTCTATCATTGGTGGGGTTCAGAATGCTCTGTGATTGTAGGCGAACTATAAATCCCAGCAACTACAACTCCCAAATGACAAAATCAATTTTTTTGAGTGATGGACATACATTGGGTTGTTAGGTGTCTTGTGTCCAAATTTGGTCAGGGTCGGTCTAATAGGAATAATAGCATAATAATAATAATAGAAATAACAACCTTTACCCGCCACGTGTTGCTGTGGCCAACCTTCCCTCTTTCTCTCCTTCTTTCCCTCCTCCTCCTTCCTTCCTTCCTTCCCATCTTTCCTTCTCCTCTTCCTTCTCTATCTCTTTCCTTCCTTCCCCCTTTTTCTTTCTCTTCTGTTCTCTTTTCTTCCTTCTCTCTTTCCTTCTTTCCTTCCCTCCCTCTTTCTCTACATCTTCTCCTCTTCCTTTGCTCCCTTTTTTCTTTCCTTTCTCTCCTTCCTTCCTTCCCCCTTTTTCTTTCCCTCCCTCTTTCTCTCATTTCTTCCTTCTCTACCTCTTTCCTTCCTTCCCCCTTTTCTTTCTCTTCTGCTGTCTCTCTTATCTTTCCTTCCATCTTTCCTTTTCTTTCCTTTTCTTCTTCCTTCTTTCTCTTACTTTCCTTCCTTCCCCCTTTTTCTTTACCTCCCTTTCTCTTTCTTCCTTCTTTCCTTCCTTCCCGTCTTTCCTTCTCTATCTCTTTCCTTCCTCCCCCCTTTTCTTTCTCTTCTGCTGTCTCTTTTTTTCCTTCCTTCTCTCTTTCCTTCTTTCCTTCCCTCCCTTTCTCTACGGGAAGGGGGGGGCGGGTTTGGAGGGGAAGAAGGAGGGGGAGGAGGTAAGATTGGGGAAGAAGAAGGAGGGGGTAAGATTGGGGCGAGGCGGGGGAGGGAGGGGGGGGGGTGTTGCGTGTGCTTGTGGGGGGGCGGGGGGGAGGAGGGGTGGTGTTGCGTGTGCGTGTGGGGGGGCGGGGGAGTGAGGGGGCGTGGTGTTGCATGTGCGTGTGGGGGGGGGAGGGAGGGGGCGTGGTGTTGCGTGTGCGTGTGGGGCGGGGGAGGGGGGCGTGGTGTGCGTGTGTGTGGGGCGGGGGAGGGAGGGGGCGTGGTGTTGCGTGTGTGTGTGGGGCGGGTGGGGGAGTGAGGGGGCGTGGTGTGGCATGATCGTTCTGGGCGGGGCAGGGGAGGGAGGTGCGGAGGGTGCGTTGGCCGTTCGGCCATGTGCGCGCGCCAGGGACTTTGCGCCATTGCGCATGCTCAGTTGTTTTGTCCATTTGTGAGTGTGTTGTTATGTTGTTTAGTATTTTGAATCGATTTCGGCATACCTTGTGGGTTGAGGTATGTGCATGGGAATTTTGTTAAATTTTTGTCAGGGTTTTTTTGAGTTTTGCTGTCCCGTTGGACGCCCCTTACAGATTTATATATATAGATTACTGGACTTTGGTATAGTGTTGAGTGAAAAGGTGTTTCAGTGCTAGAGTGCAACATTACGTCCCTTCTGTTGTCCAAAGACTGTAGAATATAATGCGTTTGACACGGATTGAATTTGCCCTGGCTCCATGATGTGTGATCATGGGAGTTGCAGTTTGCTGAGGCACCAAGAGTATTTAGCAGTGAAGGCTAAAGGTCTTGTGAAACGACAACTCCCAGGATTCCACAGCATTGAGCCAGAGCAGTTAAAGCCATGCCAAACTCTATTAATTCCGGAGAGTTGATAGTCTCCATATCTGCCTCCAGGACCAGGCATGACTTTCCTGCATGAAATGATCCTTTCTTTCTGGCACAAAAACCCGACCCTGTTAAAAAAAGAAGAGTGTCCAGGCAGACAGGTACTGCCTTCCTTTAAAATGTTAAATCCCCGCTTTCTTTCGTGCTAAACACTGCCTCTCCTGGGTACTATTAATGGATGATGGACGAGGCACAAACGGTGCCGTAGTTCACAGGTCACTGACCCTGTTTGGAAGAACAGCTTTCAAGCTCGTGCCAACCTGGGAAAGCACCAGCTTCAAGGGGAGACACAGGAGTGTGCCTGGAAATTATGAACATAAAATATTAAAAATTATATATATATGCATTAAAGTTTTAACGGCGTAATGTTTCAGTTGGGCCACCTGGGCTCACGCTATAATTCAACGGGGATTGCGTTACAGTCCGCTTTACCTTGGTGCTTCCGCAGGCAAATGGAGTCACTTTAGGAAGATTTAAAGGACACAGCCAACAATTCATGGCATTGGTTCCTTTTGCCGTAATATAGACTTCAGTTAAAGGAGAGATAGAGATAGAGAAAGAAATAACCTACCCAAGGTTGTTGAGCCTTGGGTGCTTGAAACCCTGCATTGTCCTTTTTCGGTGCACCATATTGCCCTTTTGAAACCCACATCTGGGATTTGCAGTTTGGTGAGGAGTCTTAGTGTTATTGAGCTATGAATATGCTTCGTGGCTATGTATTGATTTTAAATATATTGTGCTATTTTTTGTCAAAAATGTAAAGGTTTTTGTCGAAAGGGTAAAGGTTTTTGTCAAAAAGGTAAAGGTTTCCCCTTGATATTAAGTCTAGTGATGTCCGACTTTGGGGGGTGGTGCTCATCTCAATTTCTAAGCCGAAGAACTGGCCTTGTCCATAGACACCTCCTAGGTCATGTGGCTGGCATGACTGCATGGAGCACCATTATCTTCCTATTGATCTACTCATATTTGCATGTTTTTGAACTGCTATGTTGGCAGAAGCTGGGGCTAACAGTGGGAGCTCATCCAACTCCCAGGAATCGGATCGCCAACGTTTTGGTCAGCAAGTTCAGCAGCTCAACGGTTTAACCTACTGGCCACCGGGGGCTCCCATTTTTGTTACTAGGTTATTGGTTGTATCATAAAAACATGGAAAATTTTGGGTTGTTGTAGGTTTTTCCGGGTTATATGGCCATGTTCTGGAGGCAATCTTTCTCCTGACGTTTCACCTGCATCTACGTCAGGAGAAAAATTGCCTCCAGAACATGGCCATATAGCCCGGAAAAACCTACAACAACCCAGTGATCCCGGCCATGAAAGCCTTCGACAATACATGGAAAATTTTATTAAACTGCAGCACCTTTTGCAATAGTTTTTCAATGAATATCTCATAGTCGCAACCAATACAACATAGTTTGTGGCAGCCATAAAAAAACGTTTCTGGAGTATAAGGACCGTACAATGAAATGGGAAATAACACTTTCAAACCAGGAACAGAATTTTCAAATTTTGTTACATAGTGATATATGGCAATGTAGAGTCATATAATGCCGTTCTATGCACTTGTGAAATTGCATTATATGGAGTGTAGATAGGGCATCAAGCCCTGTGTAGATGGGGGTCGGAGTTTACTGACCATCCCTTTTTCTTTTCCAGAAGCCTTTGAGATCGTCGTCCGTCATGCACAGAACTTCACCAACCTCATGTTCAGGAACTACTACCGTGGCATCGCCGCCCATGCGCTCCCTCTTGTGGGGGATTTATTCACCGACATCTCGCTTTACATCCTGGGCTCGGACCTCAGCGTCAACAACATGGTCAACGAGTTCTTCGATGGCTTGTTCCCCTTGGTCTACTCCCGCTTGGTCAACCCTAGTCTCCCCGAACCGTCAGCCGAAATGGCAGAGTGCCTACGCTTAGCCCGCCGAGACTTGGAAGCCTTTGGTGATGTCCCCAAAGCCATGATGACCCGGGTGTCCCGCTCCCTTCGGGTGACCCGGGTCTTCCTCCAGGCCCTCAACCTCGGCATTGAGGTGGTCAACACCACCGACCACTTGCGGCTCAGCAAAGACTGCGGCCGGGCGCTCTTGAAGATGTGGTACTGCCCGCACTGCCAGGACCTCCTGATGGCCAAGCCGTGTGCCGGATTCTGTGGCCTGGTCTTGCGTGGCTGCTTGGCCAGCGTAGCAGAGGTGGACGGGCACTGGAGGGAGTACCTCCACGCCTTGGAAGGCCTGGCCAAAAGCATGCGCGGCACCTATGACATTGAACATGTCCTCCTCCACCTCTTCTCCTCCATCCGGGACGCCATCACTTACATGCAAAAGAACACGGGGAAGATGTCAGTCGCGGTACGTCCTCCTTTGTTTCTCCTTCTCTCACAGATAACAGGGGTTATTATTGGTTATTGATTATGATCATGGTGGCTTTTATTAGACTATGTAACAAAATTTGAAAACAGTTTCTATTCCTGGTTTGGAAGTGTTATTTCCTGTTTAATTGTAGGATGCTTACTTTGAATGTTTTTCTACTCCAGAAACTTTGTTTTTGTGGCGGCCAATAAACTAGATTGAGATTCAACCAGACATTCATTGATAAACTATAGCAAAATGTGCTGCAGGATGTATCACTAAAGCAAAGTTTTTGCAGGGTTGCTGTGAGTTTTCTGGGCTGTTTAGCCATGTTCCAGAAGCATTCTCTTCTGAAGTTTCACCCTTACTTACTTAATGGAGCCTCTGGTGGTGCAGTGGGTTCAACCCCTGTGCCGGCAGGACTGAAGACCGACAGGTCGCAGGTTCGAATCCGGGGAGAGGCGGATGAGCTCCCTCTATCAGCTCCAGCTCCTCATGCGGGGACATGAGAGAAGCCTCCCACAAGGATGATAAAACATCAAATCATCCAGGTGTCCCCTGGGCAACGTCCTTGCAGACGGCCAATTCTCTCACACCAGGAGTCACTCTTGACACAACAAAAAAAACAAACAACCCCCCCCCCCCGTTACTTACTTACTTACTTACTTACTTACTTAGGTGATCCCTCGTTGGCCAAGTAGGGTAATCTTCCAGGATCAGTATTCTTGTGGGTCCGTAGGTGGCTGTGGAGCCCTATTCTTGACCTGCATTTTCTTCCGCAGTGAAGGCATTGGCTTCCAGGTGAAAGGCAGTCCCGGTCGGAGTTGGCTTGACGCGCCTTCCTCTTGACATGCTTCTCCCTTTCACCTCCATTCGTGCCTCTTCAAATTCTGCAGCACTGTTGGTCACAGCTGACCTCCAGCTGGAGCGTGACCTCCAGCTGGAGCGCTCAAGGGCCAGGGCTTCCCAGTTCTCGGTGTCTATGCCAGAGTTTTTAAGGTTTACTTTGAGCCCATCTTTAAATCTCTTTTCCTGCCCAACAACATTCCCTTTTCCGTTCTTGAGTTCGGAGTAGAGCAACTGCTTTGGGAGATGGTGGTCGGGCATCCAGCGGAGTTGATGGCGGAGGACCATCGCTTCAATGCTGGTGGTCTTTGCTTCTTCCAGCACGCTGACGTTTGTCCGCCTGTCTTCCCAAGACATTTGTAGGATTTTCCGGAGGCAGCGCTGATGGAATCGTTCCAAGAGTTGCATGTGACATCTGTAGACTGTCCACGTCTCGCAGGCATAGAGCAGGGTTGGGAGGACAATAGCTCTATAAACAAGCACCTTGGTATCCCTACGGATGTCCCGGTCCTCAAACACTCTCTGCTTCATTCGGAAAAATGCTGCACTCGCAGAGCTCAGGCGGTGTTGTATTTCGGTGTGGATGTTGACTTTGGTGGAGAGGTGGCTACCAAAGTAGCGGAAATGGTCAACATTTTCTAATGTTACACCATTAAGCTGTATTTCTGGCATTGGAGAGGGGTTGGCTGGTGACTGCTGGAAGAGGACTTTGGTTTTCTCAATGTTCAATGACAGGCCGAGCTTCTCGTATGCTTCTGCGAAGGTGTTTAGAGTGGCTTGTAGATCTTCTTCTGAATGTGCACAGATGACGTTGTCATCAGCATACTGGAGTTCTATAACAGATGTTGTAACAACGGTTTTAGCTTTCAGTCTGCTGAGGTTAAACAACTTGCCATCTGTCCGATAGATGATTTCCACTCCGGTGGGAAGCTTCCCATCCACAAGGTGAAGTATCATGATGATACTTCATTGCATCTATTTATGCCATGACTCAACAAAAGCTGCTGTTCAATATGAGCAAATGTGCCTGTAGGTTATTACGCCCCTGTGTTAGTTGCCCTCAGTCTGAGAGAGGCCTCAGTGTGAGGTAAACCTCAGTATTAGTAGGTGTTGGTGTGAGAGAATGCCTCAGTGTGAGAGAAGCCCCAGATTGAAGGCCATCATATGTGAAGCTCCACTGTGAAGGCTACTGTGTGTGTAAAAATTACTGTGGGAAGCTCCTGTGTAACTTCGGTGTGAGAGCAAAGCTGTTTATCTGCCTGAAAAAGAAGCCCAGTGTGGAAGAAAAGAAAAATATAAAGAACTTTATTTGTGTTATTTATTTATTTATTTACGACATTTATATGCCGCCCTTCTCACTTCGAAGGGGACTCAGAGCGGCTTACAAGTAAATAGTAAATACAATGTTTCATATTGTTACCATAGCACAATATTAATATTATATATTACATTGCACTAGAACATTATACAGTAATATTATTAGTAATATTACATTTAATATAAAATAATATAATTATAATATCATATTATTATTATAGTATTATATTGTATTACATTATAATATTATCAATATTATATGTATATACAATATATTATATTATATTATATTATATTATATTATATTATATTATATTATATTATATTAGCACAGTGCAGGAGACAAGATGGAACTGCCTCTCTGATGACACTGGAGGCAAGATGGAACTTGTTGCAATCCAGAGCAGAGAACGAGGCCTAAGATAACTATCCACCACACTTGGCTGTGAAAAACAATCCTTTTTTATTGAAGAAAAATGGTTACAAAATAAAGGAAAAATGCAAGTCAAAAGCCACAGCAAAATCAGCAAACATGAATTTAAATGAACAAAGCAAAACCAAAAGCCTCTCTGAGAAATGCTTGAATCTGTTAGCAATCCACTAACCGTACTTGATATCCTAGAAATCTTTCCATACTATGGCCATGGAACCGGGAGAACTGCCAAGGTCTTCATCAATTCTGAAACGATGCCTGAACTGAGGGAATCAGCCTGGCGTATTGCAATTAAAACTCAAGAATCGGTTCCGTGAACCGCCCTTCTGTTTTGAAGCTAATGTTTTTAATTCTTGAATTCGGGAGGATCGACGCAAACTGAGTGTTTTATTTCTGTCTTCCCAAATTTGGCTCCTTCTGTTGTCATTACAGTTAACAGGTGCAGAAGGGAGGGAAAGTTCAAGGTCTCCCTCTGCAACATTCTCATGAACACTGGTACTTTCATTTTCCAAATCTACAGAAGTTCCTTCCTCACTAATTTCAGGAACATTGGCATTTTCCAAACCTACAGCAGATTCTTCCTCACTAATTTCAGGAGCATTGGCATCAAAAGGTACATTTCCATTAGCATCAGTAAATATACTTTCATTAGCATCAGGAGGAACAAACAGAGAATCAGGTTCAAGTTCAAACTCAGGCTGAACCCCAACAGAACTGCCTTCATGGCCCCTCTCTTCATTCATGTTATGGAAGCCTTGTTCTTGCAAATAGTGCAACCATATTATTTTGCTATCAGGAGAAGCCTCCTAAGGAAGATGTAACGCTGGTCTGTGTGTTTTTGTTCTTTTTATCACTTTTGGCTACTGGTGCTGGGTCATTTGCAACCTGAAAGACAGTTGCATCTGTCAAGTAGGAAAATAAGGTACCACCTTAAAGTGGTACCATAAATTAACTCATTTATGAGGCCATAAAGAAGACTCCAGCAAAGCATTCCAGCGGGGAAGCATGCGGGGAATGCGGAAGTGCTTCATCAGCGTTTGTTACTTAGCCCACTAGCCCAACACCAATTAGGAAATAACATTTACAACCCAGGAACGAATGCCGTGTTATATGGTGCTGTCAATTATGATGGTGGTGATGGCACCCCTTTAACTGCCATGGCTCAATTCTATGGAATCCTGGAACTATAGTTCTACAAGGCCTTCAGCCTTCCAAACTACAACGCCTCAAAATTCTGTAACATTGAGTCAGAGTAGTTATTGGGGTATCAAAGTGCATTAATCATACCGTGTAGATGCACCCCTAGAAGGACTTTGATTTTCTTGAGATGGTGGAGGTCACATGAGGTCACCGTTGACACAAAGCCAAGCCATAAAGCCTAGTGAAGGGTGTCTTCTCTCTAATTGTTCATGGCATCATCCAGCAGGTGAGAGGCGGAGAAGGACAGGTGCTTTTAAGCCAACGGCTTCTCCTGTTCGGGGCTTAATTACTCATGAACAATTTCCTGGTACATTAAAGGTAAAAAAAGATCCAGATGGATAACCAAAGGAAATTCTTGATGAAGACATTTCAAAAGACAAAGACCTTGATGCGTTTCCATTTATTTCCTGCAGCACAAGTGAAGTCAAAGTGCCTGGATCAGGAGCAAGGATTTCTATTGTAACTGGGATGCATCCAAACTGTAGGATTAATGCAGTTCGACATTGTTGTTGTTCATTCGTTCAGTTGTCTCCGACTCTTCGTGACCTCATGGACCAGCCCACGCCAGAGCTCCCTGTCGGCCGTCACCACCCCCAGCTCCTTCAAGGTCAGTCCAGTCACTTCAAGGATGCTATCCATCCATCTTGCCCTTGGTCGGCCCCTCTTCCTTTTGCCTTCCCTTTCCCCAGCATCATTGTCTTCTCTAGGCTTTGCTGTCTCTCATGATGTGGCCAAAGTACTTCAACTTTGTCTCTAGTATCCTTCCCTCCAATGAGCAGTCGGGCTTTATTTCCTGGAGGATGGACTGGTTGGATCTTCTCGCAGTCCAAGGCACTCTCAGAACTTTCCTCCAACACCACATCTCAAAAGCATCTATCTTCCTTCGCTCAGCCTTCCCTAAGGTCCAGCTCTCACATCCGTAGGTTACTACAGGGAATACCATGGCTTTGACTAGGCGGATCTTTGTTGCCAGTTTGATGTCTCTACTCTTTACTATTTTATCGAGACTGGACATTGCTCTCCTCCCAAGAAGTAAGCGTCTTCTGATTTCCTGGCCACAGTCTGCATCTGCAGTAATCTTTGCGCCTAGAAATACAAAGTCTGTCACGGCCTCCACATTTTCTCCCTCTATTTCCCAGTTGTCAATCATTCTTGTGCCATAATCTTGGTTTTTTTATGTTTAGCTGCAACCCAGCTTTTGGAC